CAAAGTTTTCGTGTGCGTATAAAGAAGGATCAATAGGCAGACGATCCCGCACCCCACAAGGACCCTGTCCTCCAAACCGTACGTGACAATTTCCCGTCATACGGCTTTCTAAACATAAATGTTCATGGCAGCGAAGCTGCAATTTCGCGCAGCGCCATGACTCGTTATATAAGCGCTCGGCGCGTTAGCGCCGAGCGCCAAAGGCGAGAGAATACGCCTCTCGTTTCGATTTGTTAGGCTCGGTAATAAGGAACCCTGTTGCTACAACATCGAGCTCCTTATTACCGAGTATTCATTTCAGGCTGACCCACGAGCCTAATGAGCCGTACCACATTTCTGCGACCCTACTACTGCCCGAGCCCAAGCGTGGAATAAGCTAAGCAAGGTTATAGAGTAAAGCCGGGCGTGGGATTGCAGCCCCTTGGCGGTGGGGGCCAGTAACGCCCAGTTGTAATGGCATACGGTATAGCAACCCACAGAAGACCAAATTTTATTGCAACGCCCTAGGCAAACTCCACCTCTTGTGCCCCGGCTGCGCACTCATCACTAATCAAAAGCCCCCGACCGGGACCACTGGTGCGCGCAGCGCACAATGTTATTCCCCCCCCACAGCTGGCCTTCGGGACGGGCAAGCGCCATGGGGGGGTAAAATCTTTCATCAGCTCACTGGGAGGCTGCGGATCGCGTTTTGCCTTTGGCGACCCCCAGAATGCGCAAGCGCCGTCAACTGCCAAGAGCCTGGTATACCGGATACGCTGGATCACGAGCGCTTCCTGGAATCCTAGGGCGGTTTTGCTGCGCCCGAACTATAGCTTTTTTTAGGATTATGTAATAACCCCCCTTGCGCTGCTTTTTTAAAGGTTTGGTGTATAAAAATGGCTTTGGCGACTCGATTACCACTGTGCGCTATTACCCAGTGTACAAGCATCCCGCGCCTATGGGCACAATTACGTTTCCGCGCAAGCGCTCATGATCAGCTGTTCGCTACGTGAACAGTGGCAGACAGCACAAATGAGACCGGTATTCGCCACACTCCAAAACCTTTTTTGGCTCACTATCGTTCGCCAACAAAAGAGCTTAGTACGAAGGTTCCGAAAAAAGCCTATGCGATTTCTCGATTAGTCGGCTTATCCCGTGATTACCCACAGTGTCTTTTTTTGATAGCGATCGGCTGTTCTGTGAGATTTAAGACAACTGGTCGACCCGTTCGGTCAAAGCCCCCTACCGCCCTACAGGGTCCCCAAATTAACCTTTGGGCGCAACATTACACGATAGGCCCCGCTGTCCGGCAGATGGGGCCAATAGCTGATTAACAACTTTATAACCGGGCACCTTTTTTGTAACCGTGGGGCGCTTGCGCGTCCGGGGAATATGGTACCGGGCTCATCGGGGCGGGGGGGGGACACTGGCCTGCCCCCAGAACCGCGCCGCGGGGGGGGGCCTGGCCTGCGTTCTGGGGGGAGGCCAGAACCGCGCAGCGTTTCTGGGGGCAGGCAATTGTCCCCTCCCTGCCTGCCTGTGGGCCGGCCGGCCGGCCGGCCGGTGGGGACCAGGCAAATGCCTGCCCCCAGAAACCCGACCGGGACCAATTTGCGCGCTGCGCAAATTCCGCGCAGCGCCAATGCAGGTATGACTAGTTTTTATATCTGAGACTAAACCAAGTAGTCTCGAGGGGCGTTTGTCATGGCCCAGCAGAGCTGGGCATTCCTCCGAAGGGGGTATGGGCCCCCTACACCCAAGCGAGCAGTAAAGTTGCTAGTTTTCTCGGCGTAGCCGAGAAAATTGACTATTGGACTCTGGTGACACAGAGCTTGGCCGCCCAATTGTCCCGGTCGGGGACAATGCGTGGCAGGGGCCCCACGGGGTACTATTAGTATTCCCGGTGCCCTGAATATTCGTTGGCAAGGGAACAGAAACGCTTGCCCCACAAAGGTCGTGTACAGCTGAATAATACCCGTACTCGGTCCTGGCGACCCCCCGGCGTCGCCGGGGCAAGCTTCAACCACTGTCCCGTAGCCAGACGACTCGTGGGGCTTGGTACTTAAAACCTCGTGTGATGCAGTTGTGAACCCGATTATTACCCAAGTCGTACAAAATTACACAAGCTCCTTATTACCGAGTCTGGGGGATGTTTTATGTATCAAACCCAGTTAGTTGCTGTGGGTATTTACTTAAGCACTAGAACTTCGTTAACCTAGCCCAACCATCGTCGACTTACGCTGAGTGAGGGCCCCTGGAACCGCGCAAGTTGCCTAGTGCTTTTCCACGTGCCCTTTTCGGTTGGACCACGCTACCCCAGGAGGACTCTACTCGACTCACTAAACGCGAGGCATCATTGCCACAAATGGGGTGGAGTTTAATACACGTACATTTTTATACTCAGTTGCCCTCGCGACAAGTCCACGGCAGTAGAATTGCCTCTAGGATGGCCCGGTCGGGGCGCTTTTTGTGCTCCTTATTCCTGAGCTGTGGGCATAGCGTGTGCAAAAACCCGCGGTAATTTACTGGACGGTTTGGTCTGGCCCCACGGCCCCGATGGCGCTGGGCGACCGCCCGACCCGACCGGGCGCCAAGATCATTGGGGAGATGGGGGGGTCAAGCACTAATCCGAGCGTCAACTAGTGTGATCCCAGGAGTGATAATCCACGACCTGGACCCAACTCATGTACAATAAAATGTTCTTTTGTCGCGAACGCCAGACTGTTAAACAACTCCCCCACGACCGTGGGTCTAATAAATTAGCGTCGTTTATAGCAACAACTGGCCACATCCTGCGGCCGGGCTAGCGGTCTGGCAACTCCCCTACAGGGATTTCTGGTGTTGTAGACTCTCTAAAGGCGGGAACAAAAGTTAATGTGATCACGGCTCGCCGAAAGAATACCGCCAGCGAGGCGAGCGGTCGGCGGTCAAGAGTCACATACCTGTGGCCCCCCCGGTATGCCACTAAGTTTGATTGACCCTGCGCGACGGTGCGGGTTGCCCCGTCTCTGCCGGGTCAAATAACATAAACCAGGCCAACGAACTCTGGGCCAGTGTCGTGATCATGTACCTGGGTGCCGGGGCCTTGTCCGCCCCGCAGGGGCGGATTCGCCTATCACTGCCCGTAGGACATCCAAAAAATAAACTACCTACCCCGTTTGTTGAGTTGCATTACCGGTTGTCTATTTTTTTACTTGTTCCACGCTTTGCTACAACTGGTAAAACTCACTGTAGCTGCACGGCGCACCATAAAAAAGTAAAAGATCTAACATACAAAAAACAGCGATCATTAGTGTTTCCAATACAAGAAAGGCAATACAGTATTCTTTTACATAATTGTTTATACTCCGCCAACCGACAATAATGCACACTGGAACTAAAAATGTAGTTAAGATGATAAAAAATAGTGAAATGCCATCGATACCAACTGTTAAGCTAATATTTTCCGAGTAAATAGTCTGTGAAAACTGAAACTGAGCAGTTGAATGATCAAAATATATCCAAAGACATAGCGACACAAAAAAGTTTATACAAGTCGTTTTTAAAGCAATACTTCGGATAAGTTTTATTTTCCAGTTTGGAATAAAAAATAAAATGAGAGCACCAAGTAGGGGTAAAAGAATAACAGAGACTAACGTATACATAAAGCCGTTTGATTGAGAATAGACTCCGGAATAGGTGTCGCCCGGGGTCTCTGAAAAATCGCTAGCAATAGCGCTTGGGTCGGACGGTAGGCGAGTCACCTGTTTTTAATCCGACCGCCCAATTTTTGGGCGCTTTTGGCAAACCACATTTCTGCGACCCGGCCTACCCGGCGTCCGCCAAAAGAGACTAAGGCGAGACCCCCCCCACGAGTATCGAGGCAGCAGGGCGGTATCTTGAGCACTTTCATGAGAAGAACGTAGTAAGCAGGAATAAATAAGGATGCGCCGTTGCCATAGGATTCGTCAAACGCCGGAGCGTACTGTTCATCTTAGTATCGGAAATACGTAATTTGGGCACTCCTACGTGGGGGGGCACACCGCCGACCGGCTATATTGTAGCCATGGCGCTTGCCCGCGACCTTTGCCGAACGAGCGCTGCAATCAGGCCCCGGCAACACCGGCCACCGTAGGTGGCCTTACAGGCCCCCTGCGGGGGAATTGTCCCCTCTGGGGACCAGGGGTAATGATGGTCCGGGGGGGAATCACCCGGCCTCCCCAGTGTTCACAGACGCCTGTGGACCGGGGGGCCGCCCCGGATCCGCTGGCGCAAGCCGCTGGGCGCTTGCGCGACCCTTAGAGCTTACCGCCCCAGGGTCGCAGAAATGTGGACGGACCACTTGTTACGAAGCACGATTGCCCCGGCTTCACCGGGGCAGCCAAGCACAACTTACGCAATCACTACAAAATTGGGCCGGTCGGGGCAAGCACCGACCGAGAGGCCGGCACCCCCCTCCCAGAGGGGGGGCTAGGCGGGGGTCGTCTGTGACTTTGGTCGAAAAACCCTGGCACTTGCGCGCCAGCGCGCAAGTGCCACCACCTACGGTGGCTGCAGGTTCTAACGTTCGTTAATGTGGGCTCCCAGGGAATTGATTTTTGACTCGGCAAAAATATATCCAACTCACAACTCATGGCCGCTACGCCCCGATATAACACGAAAGTCCAGGGTGGTAAGGGGGGACCGGTATGCGCCCTTTCCACGAACGTGCAGATTCCCAGGCACTAATATTATGCTGTCGGGTCATCGCTTGGGTTAGCCACTATTCAAAGTTACTCGAGGGCACGAGGCTCCATCGAGGGTCGCCCCCAACTGCTTTGGCGTATCGGCTTTTAGGGGTCTGCCTAAAGCTCCGTCCCCGCATTTCAGGCAACTGCGCCGGCGGCTGGCCTTCGGGACGGGCAAGCGTTATTGGGGCTGTTATTATTTTATTGCGCCCAAAATTATTTTAATTGAAGTCCGGGGCACCTACGGGGGGGGGGTATCGGGGCCACAGGTAAGCACGCTACGGTCCCCGTAGGGGCCGCGTAAGGCGTTGCAAGCTGGAGTAAAAGGATTCGAACCTTTGATATCGGAACCAAAATCCGACGCCTTACCTCTTGGCTATACTCCATACTCGGTCGCGTAAGCGCCCTTTGGGCCCCCTGTGCAGCCACCCTTTACTTTTGTCGGAGGAAATGGGATTCGAACCCATGCTCCACGAACGTGGAGATTGATTTAGCAAACCAACGCCTTCAGCCGCTCAGCCACTCCTCCGGCCCCCGGTACAGCAAAAATCCCCGGCGTATTGCGCCACAACAGCGTCTACGAACGGGACCTACTGGTTGTGCCCACAATAAATTGGCCCAATTTTCCCGACCCAAATTGGCTTGCTCGGGAATAAGGAGTACGCACGAAGCAGCAAAGGGGTGCGGAGCGTAGCAACATTGTTAACCCGTGCCCCCTCTGGGGGGGGGTGTGTAGAGTAAACCCCAGCGCCCCCGGCGCTCGCAAAAATTGCCCAGGTGCTTGCGGGGGCCCCCCGGCCAGTGTGGCTGCCCACCTTGTGGGTGCACAGGCAGCGCAGCTGCGATCGAAGCGGTGGGCACCAGGGCAGGCCACCCACCTCTGGTGCTTTGTCCCCGCATTTTTGGGACAGCCAAGCAAAAAGCCGGGGTTACGCTCGCAATTGCTCCCGACCGGGCCCTGCACAGGCGACGACCGTGGCGCGATCGGGGACAGAGGCAACACGCATCAAATGAGGGCCAATTCCCAGATTTCTGCGACCCCGCCGGCCCACAGGCCTGTGGGCCGGGCAGAATGACCCGCAGCGCCAATGGTCGGCAGTGCGCCCCAGAGGCGGCCCTCAAAAAGCGTTCCTGAGTATAGGCAGGGGGTCAAGGTATCGGCCTCTACACGAAGTACGTGAGCAATCGTGAGTTGTTCGACCTACTAGCGGACGAACTGCCCACGAACGGAGCAGGCCAGCCGGTTTGCGCGATTGATATGTTTATACCTTTTACTTGTTCAAATAGTTCAAAATGATTTTCTAATTCTGGAAAAATTAAGATATTATCGATCCCAAAATTTAAACTCTTCTGGCAGCCGACGCTGCATGATGGAAACCTTTGAAAATCTCGTAGACGTGGTAATAGAGTTATCCGACATTTTTCTAAAAACTGATACATTTTGTTGCCACGCAGTGTTACTTTGCACCCAATACATTGCCTTTTACGCACTTGAAAGTTCGCGACCGATTTTTTAGCATACGTGCGTTTGGGTCGTCGACCCGAAAGAAGCTCCAATGCGGCGAGCAAGGGTATGAGGAATTTTTTATCCCGTACTACTGATTTTGAACTGGTATTTAATACCAATTTAATGAATTTGTTTTGAGGCGTTTGCATAAGTTATTAAGTAAATTTCTTTTGGTTTTGCAGAGTCTTTTTGCCACCGAACTTTCTGGTGGCAAAAAAGTTGAGAGCCACCAACGCCCCCGCAGGGGGGGGGGGCTAGTTGTGCTGTTGCGGGGGGGCATGGCCCCGCCGGTCCACAGGCCGGTGGACCGGCGGGCAATTGTCCCCTCTGGGGACCAGGCAAACATGTTCCCCTAGATAGCTTTTAAACTCGGTTGGGGGAGCATCGGGGCCACAGGTAAGCAAGAACCCCGACGTACCACGCTTGTTGGGCCAGCGGTGGGCAATTGGCATCTACGCTCAGGGAATCACCAAATGTCCGCGCCAGTTGTTACGAAGTTTAATGGCGGAGCTCCGACTTTGCTGCGAAGCAACAAAATAGCCACTCCCCACAGGGTAGGGTTACCCTCGGAGGGGTGTCGTGTGAAGCCACAGGTTTATTGCAGCTTCGCTGCCAATCGACCCGGCGGCTCCCTGTTACACGCTTAGCGCCCCCCGCTTGCCCCCCCCTTTGGGGGGGATGCGAGGCCCCGTCAGCCCGAGCTCGCAATGGCCCCCGACCGGGCGAGGGCGCGGGGCGGGGTTCAAAACCCAGCAGGCGCGAAAAAAGCTCACAAGCAGTAATACTGCGGGGCATGTTTCTAGGCATGAGTGTCTTGCGGTAACTCGCCCCTCAGCCCAGCCTCCCCGGCGCGGCCAGAGTTGCAGAGTAAGGCCGACCCGCCCCCCCCCCCGGCCTCGCTGCATTTCTGCGACCCTGCCGACGCGGCGAAGCCGGGGAGGATCCGGCTGTGCCAGAAATGCGGTGCAAAGCATTTTGCCCGGCCTATTGCGTGGCCGCTCTGCCCTGAAGAGGCGGGCGGCTGACGGGGTAGTTTTGCGACCCTGGGGCCAAACAGTCTTGTAGCCTTTATAACTGCGGCGTCGATGGCGCAACAGGGTTGTCAAAGGTCAGATTTTACATTGGCGCTGCGCGGAATTTGCGCTCCGCGCAAATTGGCCCCGGTCGGGGGCTTTTAATTGTGCGCTGGGCGCACCAATGGCTACCAGCACCCGGTCTATTGGGCAGCCGATCGACCCCCTACATATCGCGGCCCTCGGGGTCCCAATAACTGCCCACGAATTGGTCCACGAACGGCACAATACCAGAGTACCAACATTATTACCATAACCTCTGGGGGCTCTTTTTTCTGGCGTCATCCACCACTCGCGGCCTGAGGTGAGGGCTATTTTGCGCCTACCGATCAGTGAAACTTTTGGCGACCGGTCGGAAAAATTGTCGCATCCTGAGCACGGTCCGCGAAAAGCGTTTCACGGTCAGACATGTCTGGCAAGCGCCGGGGTATGACACGACAGTATATATCGACTGGCCTCGAACTTTGGGTCAGGGTCGCAAGTGTGCCGGTATGACAGCGACCTGCATTTTTGCGACCCAGGATCGGCCGGGGGCTGGGTCCCGTGGGGGGCGTATACTGTCCTCCCTGTGGGGAGTGTTGCCCACTGTTTACGAAGTGGGAATGCCCGGCTCTGCCGGGCCCAGGGCGCTACCGTCGGGCTGTTATCTATAAGTTATTTCGGAATTACATATGGTAAAAATTTTAAGTATAGAGATAATCATACCCCATAGGGTACACGTCACACAACAAAAGCATAATATTTTTATTTATGGCCCTTTAGGGCGAAATAAATTCTCTCTAAAAAAAATGGATATAAAGGGGATTGGCGCAGTTAAAGTAAAGCCCTTTGACCCCTGCAGGCCGCCCAAAATGTCACGAGAATTCGCGGCTCATTCTACCTCTTTTCACCAGTACGCTGCGCGCACCAATCGTGGTTGGATATTACGTGTTCGAGGGGGTTTTGGAGGGCATAGGCTTGTTTGCGCGCTTGCGCGCGCCAAAACCCCACAGGCTCGCCCGCGATTGGCCATCGAGTGTTTTGGGCCCCCAGCAGGAACCCCCCCGGCAGGTGGGCCAAAAGTTTTGGTGACCCCGGTCGGGAAAATTGGGCACAAATGGGCCCTCAAACGGTATAATCTCAAGGTAAAAGCACCACTTGTTCAACGCTACGGAAATTTACCGAACTGGAGAATTGTCCGCCTACAGGACCCCCGGCATCGCCAGGGTCCTATGCAAGTCGCCGGGTCCGTGATCACTCCCCGGCGCTGCCGGGAGGTCGTAGAGCCTACTCGCTCACTCTGGTTCGCCAACAGTAGCAGGCTGGGTCTCGGGAGAGTCAGCTGTTCGCTACGCGAACAGGGGGAACGCCGACGGCGGTCACAGGGAGGCCAGCTGGCCCCCTCGCTACGCTCGGGAGCCCAAACTAAAAAGGATACTCGGGCACTTCGGGTGGCTGCGCGCCATCCGAGGGGTAGCCGGGCAAACACCGCGAGCGCTTTACCGCCGAGGCGCGACTCGATTGAGAAGCCACCCAGCAGGCCGGGGGGGGCCCGGCCCAATACTGCCAATAGTATAATTTGTTTGAGTTCTTCTCAATCTTTTTTGGGTTTAATTTCGGCCGTGGTCAAAAATAAGCTGCATGGAGTTTCTCGTGGTTTTTTGGTATATATTCGTGTGTGACAAGAAGTTATGCCGCGTACTCAGAGGGCCAATTGTTCGAGCGCACCTGCGGGGTAACATGTAGTTGTGACGCCTCGGTCTAAGGCACTGTCCAAAAAATACCCACGGTCAGCGAATACTTGAGTATACGCTCGCCCGGAAGAGGCTCGCGGCCTACTGAGCGCCAAGGCTTGGCTAGAGAAAAGCGCGCCTATACAACGACCCTCGGTGGCCGTTTTGCCCGCAGCTGATGATTCCCGTTGGCGCAAGATCCCAGGCGGGTGGGCAAAGGGCGCTCTCAGCCTAGGGTCGCAGAAATGGTGGATGGGTACGCCAAACGAGTAGGCGAAAGTCATTAGCCTCCAATTGTGCAGGGTCCAGGGTCGCAGAAATGGTGGGAGAATGCCTTCTTGCGAGCCTGTCGCGACAGTTTATCTGTTGTCCCCCCCCCGCACTCGGGGGAGACGTCGCGAAGCCACTGGTCCCCTGCAGAAGGCCCAATACAGGGGTCGGCCGGGTTGCAAAGTTCGACTATTGCGCCCTTCGGGCATCTACCACTGTTGGGCGCAATATTTGCTTTTAAAATCGACACGCCACCCTGCGGGGAATTAACAATTTGAGGGCAAGTCATCAGATACAGAATTAGTAAGGAGTTTAAAATCCTTTTTTGACCCACTATTGCCAGAGGATCCGTGCTGTACCCGGGTGGGCTCGTCGGAATCCTATTGGTACTAAGCGCGGATACAAAAACGAGTTGCTGTGGACATTCTGGGTCGGGGGGGGAATCACAAGTGCTATCGGGGCGGGGGGGACACTGGCCTGCCCCCAGAACCGCGCAGCGCCCTGGCCCGGCAAAGCCGGGCAGTCCCCGGGTCGGGGGCTTTTGCCAATTTGCGCGCTGCGCAAATTCCGCGCAGCGCCAATGCAGGTATACTGTGTTTTTTTCCGACCACTAAGGTCGGCTTGTCATTCCCCGGCGTACATGTCTGGCAAGCGCCGGGGCCCAGTAGTGGCGAACTATAATGAGTCACTACTGGGCCCTGGGCGATCGCGGTCGCTTCGCTCCTTATAACCGAGTACTGATCAAGCCTCACTAGTGCGAGTGTCCTCCCCGGGTGCTGCATATCGGCCCCGTCGGCGAGTAATTTCAGCTAAACTAATGAACAGGGGTAATATTGTTAATGAAGGAGTTTAGGCCTCCTCTACAAGCCACGGGCAATTTTTCCGACCGGGTCCAAAGATCAGCTTTGGTCCGAAGGACGGTGCGCAAATCAGTCTGGCCACACGAGTAGGCCTTTAAAAGCGCGCACTCCCGCCGACCGTTGCTCGCCTGGGGTTTACGTCGGTCGGCCAATTTTTAGCGCGTAAGAACGATCCAAACGCTAGTCGGTTTGGTGATTCTCTTTACTGGCCCCCCTGTTAACTGGTGAAATATCTTATCTCTGTGCCGCTTGTGGACAGTTGGCAATAACAGGCCCCCCCGGCCAGTGTTATTTACACTAGGGCAGGGGGGCCTTTTACCGGGTCGCTCTGGGGGCCGACCTATTCCCGAAGTTCCGACCCATGAGCCCCAGCGTATACAATCGCGGTCGGCGAGCGCCAAAAAATCAGGTGGCTGCCTTAAAGCTGGGAATTCGCAATGAGCTTCTACTATAGATAATGGCAGCACCAATTTGCTAAAATTTGTGCCCGGACCTGGGCTCCTTATTCCCGAGCGAGTAACAAAACCAGGCTGGAAAAAAAGTCCGCGTGGGCAAAGAAAGCTCCTGTGGCTCGGACTCTTGGGCGCAGCTTCGTTCAACCCCAACAGCGCTAACTTGGGCTCGCGGTCGGCGAGCAGACTGGTCTGCGAGCCTGGCCAATAGGGCAGTGAGAGGCTCGCACTTTACACGAGCCTGCTGTTGCTTGACGCCGTTATTTTTTAGTCAAAGTGTGATATTGCGCCCAAAGGCTAGTTTTGCATTCGCTGACCGGGCCAGCACGTACCAGGGGTTCTAGGAGCGCGCCGGTAATGTGTGCGGGGGTAGATCTCCGCCCTAAATTCGTTTGTGCAGGCATAAAACTTGGTAAACCGGGCCGTAAACAAGGAGCGGCCCGGTAAAGGATATCCTAAAAAGTATAGAAACAGTCTAACGACGGGGGGTCGGCGCAAAACTGTTTTACCAAACTTGGGGTCGCGTTAGGTAGGCTAGCGCTGCAAATGATCGTTGGCCGGGGGGGGGCCGCTTTTTAAGGGCAATGTATAACTTGCGTAAAGTCTCTTCCGATCAATTATATACCGTAAGGAGGGCACTGGCCTGCCCCCAGAACCGCGCCGCGGGGGGGGGCCTGGCCTGCGTTCTGGGGGGAGGCCAGAACCGCGCAGCGTTTCTGGGGGCAGGCAATTGTCCCCTCCCTGCCTGCCTGCCTGTGGGCCGGCCGGCCGGCCGGCCGGCCGGCCGGTGGGGACCAGGCAAATTGCGCGCAGCGCCAATTTTATTTCCCCTGTGTTTTGGCGCGCGCAAGCGCGCGGCAAAAGCTTTCGGTAGGGTCCCGTGGGGTGCCCGTCTTCGCCGGGCCAAAGGCCACCAGAGGTGGTCGCGCACTGGTTGATGGCCAGCGCTAGATCAAACGCCGAGCCGGTGGGCCATAATCCTAGTGCCGCACCCGTCAGCCCGACCCCTCTTCGCATCAGAGCGGCTTGGGCTCGCGGTCGGCTCGCAATCTTCCACACTGCTTTGGTTGGCCCCCTGGGCAGCCCGGCCTGCCCAGATTTCTGCGACCCTGCTCGCCAGAGGCGAGCAGCGCCCACGAACGGGACCTCGATCACCATTGGTCCCTTCGGGACAAATTTGCGCTGCGCGCAACATTGGCGCGCCCAAGCGCCTGGTTCAATAAGGGTTCGCCACGAATCCGGCCCTAAAAGTTTGTACAACCGGAAGCTATTGATGGAAAAGCAGGGGCTAGCAACAATTACAAAACTGGTGCTCTGCTGACCCCAGCGACCTCGGCGGTTCGCGAACAGTACAGTCCCGTTCGTGGACGCTGTAGGGGCCAATCATTATTCCCGGGTGGGGCAGGTTCGGGGTGAAAAGCTGCCCACGACCCGGGATCGAAAAAAAGTTGCTACACCCAGCCCCGGCTGCGCATTTCTGCGACTCTGCCGGGGCTGTGGTAGCTACCTTATGGGAGGGGTTCACTGTATTACGATTACGCCGGTAAGGCGCGGGACACCGTGGTATCACACCAACCGCTTCGCTGTCCGTCGACGCCTCGATTGTCACAACCTTGGCAAAATTGCTTGCCCGTCCTATTAGGCCGAGGGGCCCCGGGGCAATATGCCATTTTAGATCTTAGGTAGCACACGATCATTTGAGCCGTGTGCGAGAAAACTCGCACGCACGGTTCTGCGGGGGGGGGTAAAAACCTATCCCAACCTTCTGGGAACAGGCTATCGGGTTACTAAAGAATCAATGTTATATCCGAGTTATGGTATTGCAGAAATATTGAACTTTAAAGTAGGCTATAACCATGATACAAAGTTTCAGCTTTATACAACGAGTGGTGATCACGAACAGGGTAAATTTACGGACAGCACCGACCCGGGCTCTTGAGTACGGCCATTAGGAGCGCGCAAGCGCCAAGAGTTGTTTTTTCGGCGCAGAAATGTGCGCCCCCAAGAACGTGTCCGAGCATTGTCCGCCACCGCAGCCCCTTCGGGGGGTCGTCAAAATGACAAGTTGCAAGCATTTGAGCCTATGGAAAGGGGCCTTTTATGCGCCCGTGAAAGCGTATACCCCCCAATTAGGGCGTTTTGCATTAAACCTACATTAATTTGTTTATACGGGATTGATAAAAATCAAGTGACGCAAGTGGCTGCCCAAATTCGTAAAATTAGGCCGCCTAGTGCCTATACGGGCAAGGGAATTTTTGTTGTAGACCCTTCGGGCTTGTAAGGGTTCTTATTCCCGAGTAAGCTGTAGGCCTCCGACCGTCGGATCCTCTGGCAAAGGTGGGCCGGGGCAGTTGGGCACACCAAACGTAATTCGCGACCGGCAGAGTCTTTGTTTACCCGCCTAGTTCGTGGGCAAGCAGTGCACCCGTCTGCCGCGAGTAGAGGCTTCAATATATGGGAGCGCGCAAGCGCCCTGCCCACTTTGTGGGCAGCACTCGGGAGCCCCCCGGTTGCGACGCCGGGTTCCCCAGGGGGCCAAGCGCCCGACCGCGGGAGGTCACCGGTCGCACAGCAGGACTAATGGGGGGATACGGTTAGCTAAAGCGCGGCCAACCACCATCGGTGGGAGCGCTTGGCCGCGGGGCAGGGCACAAATGACCCGCCCCAGGCACCCCCGTCTATGCCGGCAACCCTTGGCGGTCTGGGCCGGGCGGATAATGGTCGGCGTGGGCGACGACGGATATTCCCGAGCGAGCAAATAGTTGGGCTCACGAAAGTATCCTACTGGCCACTGTAGGTGGCCTCGCCTGCGCGAATAGACTGGACTTCTGGGAATAAGCCACTTGCTGGGCGTGGCAGGATTTGAACCTGCGTCCCGATCGTTAAAAGCGATCTGCTCTAGCCTCTGAGCTACACGCCCTTACACACCCGGTGACTCGCCTTACAACTATCAACGCACGGCGACGCCTCATATGCCCGAAGGGGCTAGAGACAGTCTCACGAGTGTTTTAAATTATTGCGCCCAAAAGATGTTGGCCAGCGAGCCCTGGGGGGCCGGTATTTCACGCTTCGCTCGCCCACTGTAGTGCCGTGATACGCGCGGTTTGCACTGTTCGCTGCACAAACGTACCCGCGCCGTTTGTCTCTACTAGCCAGAGAGTGTCTTATACTATGTGTGCATTTTACATAGCCCCCTTCGGAGGTGGGGGGGGAATCACAAGCGCATCGCCGTTTCCCCGGCGTATCACGGTCGGACAGTAAGCAAGCGGCCCACTGCTTTTTTAAAACCCGCGCAAGCGCCATGACCTCATATTTTTGGGGAGGGTGCCGTTCGGGGCGGGGGGGAGGGCAATTGCAGGTAAACACGTTTTTTCGGTGCAAAACTGGGACCCCGCGCGCGCAAGCGCGCGGCCCTGCTCGCCTACGGTGACAAGAAGCTGCACAGCAGGTGTAAAAGCAATAGCCCACCACAATAAATACCATTACTGCCCCGGACTTAACGTAAGCGTACTGAAAGGCTTTGGTGCAACCCTTTCCGATTCTATTGCCGCGCTTTGGCTTCGCCAACCCCAATAAAGTGCACAAAAGTATGACACTCTAAACAGGTAATTGTCAAGCAATCCGCCCCTTCGAGGCGGGATCCTGTTTTTCAGCCACCGCGCGGCGGAACAGCTAGCGCTTCAGTTTCAACTTCAACCATTTTTGGGCATTACGCGCAAGAGCCAGTGCTAAAGCCACCGATGACGGACTTGGCTGACAATTCACAACTCAGTAGGTAGCTGGAAACATCCCGTAGGACCGGCTCAGTGCATATAGATCAATCCCGAGCAATTTAAGCGTGGCAGTTTAAGCAAAAACTAGCCACCCAGCGGTGCCCCTGGCGGGACCTGGGCACTTTGAGTGTAAAGGCAATACTCGGGAGCCCCAAATTTCCCGACCCAACGTTGGTCCCCGGAGGGGACAAAGGACCGTCAACGGTTGACTGTGCAGCTTTGAATTGGGCCCCGGCAACGCCGGGGCCGCGATCTCGTCATCATTTACACACGCACTGCCTGCAAAAGGGAATGTTGGCGCTTGTGATCCCCCCCCCGTCCTGTGATCTGCTGGTAATAATGACAAAAGCGGGAGAAGGGACTTGAACCCTCACAACCAGCTTGGAAGGCTGGGGCTCTACCATTGAGCTACACCCGCTCCCGAGAAACCAACCCATTGCAGCCCGACCAAGTCGAGCTAGTGGGAGCCCACGGGAATACTAGCCCGTTAATTTTCCCAACCGGGCGGGGGGGGGGAATAACAACAAGATTGTAAACCTTTGGTTGACAAAACATGACCAGCTCGCCGTTGTCAGAGGATCCGTCCGCCCCGAACGCTGGGTCGGAGGGCGCTCGCGCGTCCTATTAGGCCGGGGGGGCCCGGGGCAATATGCCAAAATTGCGCTGTAGCAACACAATTATTATTGCGGACAATTGCAGCTTCGCTGCCAATTTTAATGATGAATAGAAATTTTTATCTGAACTCCAGGAAATTCTGAAATTCTTACAGTGTGTAGTAAAATACACAGAGCGGTAATGTTTTGGCTAGATGTGATGATTTTTTTTTTATATTGTTTTTTACAAAATTGTTCTCGCGATTTCTTATCAATATGAGGAGACTTTACTACAGTATATATACTTTTTTTTATGGGGAAGTGTACGAATGCCATAATAATCTTTAGTAAAAAAAATTGCTTGTGATTCCCCCCCCGCAGCTGACCGGCAGGGCTGGGTCGTGAAGAGGGGTGTACTGTTCGGGGACGTGGGTGTTTACACTTGGTTTTTTTGCGCAGCTGCCTGAGCCCCCCGCCCGAAACTGTCAGGGCAGTGCCCGTCTCTGCCGGGCACTGCAACGGGGCTCACGAGCTCGTTATAAGCATACCCTCGGTCGAAACAATAGCGCCACACAGTACAGGTGACCGTGCCGCGGAACCCCCCCTTGGGTGCAGGGGGGCCAATATAGGCAAAAGTAGTACACACTAGTTTTCGGGGACCGCTGGCATCTTGCTGTGACGCCGCGGGCGGCTTAAAAACGAGGGTACAGGGGGACACAAACGCTTTGCTCCTTGTTTCCTGTATATGGGGATTTCAATCGGTGTCTCACAGGTACAACCGGTAGTAAAGTATACGCCCGAACGCCGGGGCTAGAGACTTTGGCCACGGGATGCTACAATTTTTGGGCCCCCTGTTCCACGCTTCGATACAAGATCACTGGGGGAGCCTTTATTGGCTGTCCCCCGACGAGAATTGCGCTTCCGCGATCTAATCGGGCCTTAGGCAGTAATACGTCCAGGTGGCAAAAATGTGTATACCTGCATTTGCCTGGTCCCCACCGGCCGGCCGGCCGGCCGGCCCACAGGCAGGCAGGGAGGGGACAATTGCCTGCCCCCAGAAACGCTGCGCGGTTCTGGCCTCCCCCCAGAACGCAGGCCAGGCCCCCCCCCCGTCCTATATTAGCGACCTATGCACCTTAGGGGGGCCTCGCGGTAAAGGTGGTTGGGTTCGCAGAAATGCAGCGAGGCGACCGAACTTTGGTGCCCACTGTCGGGAAAATTCCCAGGCCGGGGGGGCCCCGCTTGCTGCGCGGCAAGCCCCCCCCCCCCGGCCTGTTGCTTGCGCGTCCGGGGCACAAAGCATGTGTCCCCGACCGGGTTTCTGGGGGCAGGCAATTGCCCCGGTCGGGGGCTTTTGGCCATGACTTGTTTTAAGATACTTCTCCCCACGGCGGGAGTGGCCCCTACACAGACGACCCCGGCTCGCTGCGCTCGTTTCTGGCCTCTGGGGGCAGGCCCCCCAGATCGCAGGCATAAGAACTTTAGGGCAGGGCGCCAATGTTTGTGTATTAAATCTCGGCGTCTTCTGGTCGGGCAGTACTCGCTGGCAAGCGCCGGGGTTAGGGCGCCGATTATTGAAGCTCTCGTGGATGCTGATGCGAGATAATTGCCGTGGCGAAGCCACGGCCCCTCGTGCGAGATACAGTTAATGATCGCATACCGGGGGGGCCCCGCGTTGACGTAGTACACAGTATATTTATATTTTTAGCGGTCTTGGATGGCCTCCCGGCGCATCTTTGCCGTGGCGAAGCCACGGCCCCGAGCTCTGGTTTATCTATTAATAATGAAAGATTATTGGTTATTTTTAAAATAGAGTATAAAGAGTCGTAGAGCATTTGTTTACGGAAAGATTTCAAATGGATTTCTATTCGATACATATTATATTTTCGAGTTCTTGACTGGTGCCCACCGTGCGTTGTGGTACACTCGGTCGCGGATCGACCGAATTCCCGAGGCTCAGATGAAGAGAGTGAGGCGTCGTGGTTTGTGTGCGGTACTGGCACATTCATCTGTTATTCCCCCCCACCCCCGGAAAGCACCGTGTAATTGGGGCTCCCGACCGTTGGGAGCGCCACGAGCGCCGTGTTTTGACAATGTGCACACGGTATTTGCCCCTTCGGGCTTTTACACTTTCTCGGCCCCCCAAGGGGGGTAATAATGAATGTAAAATACCGGCTCCGCCGGGGAAGGGCACGGTCACCTTTGCCAGAGGATACGCTCGGGGGGGGGCACCATGCACATATAATTTAATTCCTACACTGGTGACAGATTACTGCCCGCGCTCCATTTAAAGAGGTCGACGGCGTAGCAATCTCTGGTGGCAAAGTATTTATCTGCTGGCAGAGATTACCGACCGGTAGCTATATATATTCTACGGCTATGCAGCGCGTCGTGGAAAAACTGCCGCGCGTTGCCCGGCAGTGTTGTCAGCGAAGCGGTTGCTGGTTTCACAGAACGTTAATGAGGCCTATACGCCAATGGCGCTTGTCCGTCCTATTTAAACGTCATTATCACGAGCAAGGCCCCTTTTTTTTTTTGGGGGGGGGGGGGGCGCCGGGTCCAAGACCACTACACGAGTGCCGGGGTCGCAGAAATCTTCGGTTGTAGGATGTTAAACACCAGCGGTCGGGGCATGGTACTCGTGACCACATCCTCCAAACGCCTTATAGCCGTAATGTCGTTTATATAGGCCCCTTTGGGCCCCCGGCCGGGGGCCGGTGTGAAAGCACACTACGGGGATATACGACGCTACGTCAGGATCCTCTGGCAATAGAGAACACTACCCTAATTCAGTGTAATTATTTTCGAGCATACGGGCTTTTGTCGGGTCTTCACACTCGGTCGACCAAAAAATGGCCTAGCAACATTACTGTATTGTGGACGACATGCCAATTGCCCCTGACCGGGGACTGCCCGGCTTTGCCGGGCCAGGTTAGAGCGCACGTGGCCAGATCGTCCGACGGGGGGGTAATGCGATAAATTGGTCGTAAATGTGCCCACAAATAAGCGATTCCCAACAAACGGCTTGCCTAATACCCTGAGACCCGCGGGGGGCGGTACGAGAATAGGTCGCCCGAGCGGCGTCTCACGGTCGGCAAGGCACGGGGGTTGCACTGGTGTAAAAGCACTAGCGCCGAAGGCGCAAAGCGTTGCTGCATACCCACTTTTACGAAAGGCCCCGGGTTTGCAGTTTATTGGGCAGGGTCGCAAAAATTTGCGATGCACTGATTGCGACCGCTCGCGCAGTACAAATCGTCACTAGCCTGTGCGGCAGCGTCCACTCGCAAGCTCGTGGACGCCAATCCGTGGCTGCTTGCAAAGGGCAAAGGCTCGTTTGCGTTTGGAGCGACTACTTTTATTTTATCGGGCTCGTAACTTTTTATTTTAGTGTTCTTTTAGGGATAATTTTTATGCTTATGAGAGGGTTTTTGACGAGTAGAAGCAAACTCACCAAGTTTATGACCGATCATGTCTTCGATAACTCTACAGATGATAAATTTTTTTCCATTATAAATATGAAATTGGTAACCACAAAATTCCGGTAATACCATAGATCGCCGAGACCACACAAAACTTTTAGTTTTGTGATTATTTACAGACCGAGGAACTGGGTCGCTAAGAGAATTTTTTTTATTTTGGGCGCAATAATTTAATTTGGCCCCGGCATAGCCGGGGCAGTGTTTTAAAGCCTCCGAAAAAGGGCCTTTCCACAAAGATCTTGTCATTACTTTAGTTTGTTATAATAAATACAGGCCCCCCCCGGCAAGGTAATGTACGCGGGAGGCATTTACGCGCTGTGTCGTAACAAAGGGTTGCGTTCGTTGGGTGGGGGGCTAAGAGAGTAATTTTAATGGGGGGGTTACCAAAAAAAACGCCCCTATCCACTACGTGGGAATAGTGTTGCGTGGTCGAAGCGACCCGCTCGCCCCCAAGGGGCGAGCGCGCTTACGCGACCGGAACACTGAGTGTAATTCTAATTTTCGGAACGCCAACCCAGGGCAATAGCGCCTCAGTCGCGCAAAAAGATGCTGCTAACGCCAAACACCCTCGCCACTGCCGTGGGTCGTACTTGTGCGCCAGTGTCGCGCAATCCACACAGCATTATGGCGACCTACCAGAGTGGGTGAATCTTGTTTGAACTAGTATGATGCTCGCGCCCGGTACGGCTCTCGGCTCGTTTACTGGGGCCTTACCTGCCACCAGATTGGCCCGCGCAGCGCACACCGGCCAAACAATAGCATCAACCACACGCATAGACGGGAGCGTACTGGCCGCGATCGCCTGGCAGGCGCCTAGATCCCGGTACCCGTCGGGATTGTTAGGTAAAAAACTTGTATACCTCACGGGCGGATACTATTGTGCCACTGCTGTGGCCCTGGTGCGAAAAAAGCTAGTACACAATTTCTCGGCCCCCGACCGGGGCAATTTCGCGCAGCGCCAATGCACACTAAAGTCGCCGGGACCCGCGGTTTGCCCTGGCACATGCCGCTAGCGAATCACCCTAGGGAAAGGCCCAAACACCGAACGCAATTCCCAGATTTCTGCGACCCCGCCGGCCCACAGGCCTGTGGGCCGGGCAGAATGACCCGCAGCGCAAACCAAGCAGGAGAGTGAGTAAAAAGCGCCTAAATTGACGTTGCGTCAGTTTTGTGATTGATCCGTCTCACTGAGCCCGGGCGGTTGCGCAACCGGGAGCAAAAAAAGAATTTCTCTAGAGTACGTGATTGTCAACCATACCGCCCCCCCCCGGTGTTGACAAATAATTTGGGCCCAGGGGGCCGCTAGCGCAAATACCGCCGACCAAAGGTCGGCGGCCGGCGAATCAACAGCCCGGCGGCGTGTGGGCACCTCTAAAAGTTTTTTTACTCCCTGGGCCGGTGCTTGGACTATGGCATTCCCCGCAGGGCGTACCGGACGTTAGCACTCACTAGCCCCGCGCTCCAAACACGAGTGATTTTGGACGCCGTTATAATATTTAGGCCCCCTAATCACTGGGGGGCAGTTTTGCGACCTGGCGCTTGCGCGCTCCATTTAAAGGCATATTTTTGTTAAAGATAAAATTTTCATCAATTTGCTAATTCTGAGCTCATACGTCGTCGCCCCAATAACTCTGTTCCCTATAGGTGTCAACCTTTGGTTGACAAAAACACAAGTATTTGTATCAAAACTGTATAGACTACCGTCATTTCTTTTATGTTGTTTTTTTGTTGTGACAACAACAGCCTTGTGCACACTTCTAGAATCTATTTTAGCTTTTTGTTTTTTTTGAACAGCCACTGTAATGGCATCTCCGATTTGGATCTTGTTGTTACCGCCAATACACTTGACAATTTTTGCACCTGAATTATCAGTCACATGTAAATAGGTTCCACGACCAATCATCGATTGTAAACTTTCAGTACGTAGCAAAAGGCTCTGCCGAATACCCGGCGTAGCCGGGGTTGCTCGGGATTCCTTGGCGCCGCCTAACCTTTGGGGCCCCGGACGGGCAAGCGCCCAGCGGCTTGCGCCAGCGGATCCGAGGCGGCCCCCCGGTCCACAGGCGTCTGTGAACACTGGGGAGGCCGGGTGATTCCCCCCCGGACCAATCACTTTTTTGAAAGGCACCGGTACACTGGGGTCTTGAGTACGCACCTGTGCTCTGTCCGCAATTGCTCCCGACCGGGGGCGGACAGAGCGCCCTGCCCCCCAAAGGGCGCAAGGCGACGGTCGGGGGTCAAAAAGTTGGCTAGATGCCGATGTAAATTAAGGCTTGTATCGCCGTATTTGTCGCGAACGGGCGGCCATTTTAGCGACCGCAAAGCGGATATTCGGCGTGTGTTCGGGCGGCGGGGGGATGAGCGAAGCACTGCCCACACCTGCCGGTCCCCCCCCCGCCCCGATAGGGGCAGGTCCGGGGGGGAATCACCCGGCCTCCCCAGTGTTCACAGACGCCTGTGGACCGGGGGGCCGCCCCGGATCCGCTGGCGCAAGCCGCTGGGCGCTTGCCCGTCCAATGCTGGGGGGGCTCGAGTGTAAAACGCCGGTATTACTGTATAGTCCCGTACGGTGTAGCGCATTATACGCCAATACCTTTAAGAGAGGATCCCCGGCGACGCCGGGGACCCAGAGTGTGTGTGTAATATTGCTTGGGCCCCCCCGTAGGAGGCGATACTGTGAGAGGGAGCCGAAAACCCGCGTTCGAACAAGCTGACCCCCCGGCAGAGAACACGGATGTGCCCACTGTATTGGCCCAATTTTCCCGACCGGGGGCAACCAGATTTATAGCCACCGCTTCTTATAAGGATTGGCCACAGGATGGCGCTTGCACCTCCCATTACCCAAAAGCCCCCAACCGGGGCCGAACGAGTGTAAAAGAGTACCCTGAGAATCTCACACTCACAGCGTTTGGTTGCCAGTAGAGTAAAAATTACGTAGCTACCGCTTCCCCACTATGTGGGTAATTGTTCCGGCATCCACGCCCGATAGGGTACATCCACCACTGTGCTTGCGGTCGGCTCGCTACACTAGTGGGCCGCCAAACGCTGTAAGCGGGCTTTGCCGTATTCCCCCCCCCCTTCGGGGGCCAAACGAGTTTTTAGCGCATATTCGCCCTAACCGGTCCACAGGCCGGTCCACAGGCCGGTCCACAGGCCGGTCCACAGGCCGGTCCACAGGTTTGTGTAGTCTGCACGCAAGAGCCGACGGATCCTCTGGCAACAGGCGGATGGAGAGGGATTCGAACCCCCGGCACTAGAACAATGCTCCGGTTTTCAAAACCGGTACCTTAAACCACTCAGACATCCATCCAAAGCGTCCCCCGGCAGAGACGGGGGCAAAGCGCCAAACAAGGTTTGTGTCCGCTTGCCGAACTTTGATCGGCAAGTTGACTCGGGGGGGGGATAACCTCCCACACTGCCCCCCCCGAAGGCGGCCCCCTTGACATAGTGGCCGTTGCCGAACCTAGGCTTCCGCGGGTTTTGGTCGCGACCCCAATTTTTGTGCCCCTAGAAACCCGAGTACCCGGTCGGCTTTTGCCAAACCCAGGCTCGCCGACAGGGGTGCCCCTGCGGGGCCAATTCTGCGACCCTTCGGTGCGCAACAATACACGCGCCGTGGGCATATCGCTGCGCTAATAATTCGTGGATAATGCGCTTAGGGGCCCCCCCGGCCTGCGTAATTTTTGTTGCTTCGTCTACTAGGGGAGCAATATGTGTGAACAGCCCAAAGGTCTTTGTATCTTGGGGCGGTGATCTGTACGGTTTTGACCCCTCGTGTAACAGGCAATTATTGCCCGCTTCCCCGATTTCTGCGACCCCGGGGAGTACTTGTTCCCGAGCAGCTCACTGGGGGGGCTTGTTGGCGTAGCGCCTTAACGAGATTACTAGTTCACACCGCCTTATAACACAGGGAAATTTGCTGCACCAACTAAACCCAGCGCCCCCTACGGGGGCCCTCCACATTCACACCGCTTGCGCACCATTGGTCCCGGTCGGGGACACAACTTGCCCCGGCGCTTGCCAGCGTGTCCGATCGTGTTACGCCGGGAAACTCGCGTGTCGTATACTGTCACTGCGGACCCTGAGCAGGGGCTACATGTTTCCACCATTGACCCGACCGGGCGGCCTTATGTGTCCCCTGCTTATTCTCGAGCCAGCACACTACGGGTGGCCCCCGAACTATATAGCAACGGGACGGGTCGAGAACAAGAGGCTCAGATGGCTAGAGACATTCTATTGTTCGGAGCACGCCATTAACTGGTTTGGCGTGGGCACATTACTGTATTGCTAGAGCTTGTTATATAATACGTGGGTAGGGTCGCAGAAATGTAGGATGGCTACAAAGCTAGTCGTTGAGCCCTTGCCTCTATTCGGAAATAAGCAGGACAACCTGGGCTCGTCGCGGCTCTTGGCCACCTTTGGTAGCGCGGATGGCTAAAGACCGATTGGCGAGGCGCGACTGCTCGAACAAGCGGCCGGGACATCAGTGTAATGACTTTACCCCTTAACCCCCCCGAAGGGGGCCCTATTTTTTTATATTGGCCGACCGCAGGGGGGGGCCACCATTTCTGCGACCCTGCCCTTTGCCCGGGTTGCGAAATTAAAGCAACGCCATTGTACCGTGCGTGCCCACGGTCGGGAAAAAATACAGTACACGGGCGTATTGCCCCCAGCAGTGCGCCGACCGCGCCAACGATTTGTATGGTTGGTCCGGGGGGGAATCACCCGGCCTCCCCAGTGTTCACAGACGCCTGTGGACCGGGGGGCCGCCCCGGATCCGCTGGCGCAAGCCGCTGGGCGCTTGCGCGCTCCAGATAGGCACACCCGATGGTCTTTTATTTTCCGGATAAAGAGCCTATGTTATTTAGGAGCGCGCAAGCGTCATGATACCGGGATAGGGGCCCAACTCACGGCTAACGTCGCCAAATTAACGGGCCTGATTTGCGTGTGATGTCCCGTATGTAAAGACCCAGTTCCGCAGGTTTCACTACGCAAAGTTAGGCTCCAGAGTGAAGTGAAGCCAGGACGGGGGGGGAATGGGGGGAATCACAGGGGCAAGCGCCATCAAGCCAGTACTGTACCCAGTCCCGTTCGTGGACAGCGTCCCGAGGCCACGACCCTTGGCCGATCACGACCGTAGTCTGATGGCGCGTTGGCAGCGCAGCTGCGCTAGCGCGCTAGTGCTAAATTTTTTGTTTTGCGTTAATTACCGAGTTTGCCTGCCTGCGGTCTGGGGGGAGGCCAGATCACAGAGACAGGTTGGGCATGGGGGGACTCGAACCCCCGACTTCACGCTTATCAAGCGCGTACTCTTTACCGCTGAGTTACATGCCCAGAACTGACCAACCACCGTATGTTTGCCGTATTTGTCGCGAAACCAATCGGAGCTTGTATTCGGCGTAGAGCCCCCTTTTCGGCTCGGGGAGCAACATTTTTCTGCAGACCGGAGGGCACCTGGTACAGTGCGCGTCTATAACGCTGCCCTACAAGCAGCTTGATTAAAAAGGCACAAAGAGTCTTTTTTGTCGCCCGTCGACGCCGGGGCCTCGTTTGCGTGTGGCACAACATTGTCGGCCAGATGCGAGGTTTGTAGGATCGCGCGACCCCTGTAGGGGGATTCGCTAACAGTGCAAAAGCCAGTACAGTATTCCCGAGCCGAGCAAATTATTTTTATCTTTGAGCAACCACGTTGGTCCCCCGATCCTTCGCCGGTGCTCGCAAAAATTGCGCTCCCACCGGTCGTATTTGGCGTGGCCTTGTTGGCGAAGCCACGCTAGTGAATACTCGGGAATAAGCGCCCAATTTTCCCGACTGCCTGCCCCCAGACGGCGCAAGCCGCAGCGTCCACACCTGCCTGCCTGTGGGCCGGCCGGCCGGGACCGGGTGGACCCTGGGTGGGGGGGAATAACAATACGACCGGATCCTCTGGCAAAGGTTGCGAACCCTGAAAAAGGCAGGCTGCAGGAGCTCTTGTGTAATCCACAGACTAGTTGCCCGGCGTACTACGGTCGGACACGCTGGCAAGCGTAACACTAATGTACTTTAGTTTACGGGTATTCACGGGCGGGGGGGGCATTGGCCCCGCCGGTCCACCGGCCTGCGGACCGGCGGGCAATTGCAGCTTCGCTGCCAATGCAACTATCAACGCACGGCTATGTTTGGCACTCGTGTGGCGAAGCGTGGAGTGGCGCGGTCGGCGGTGGTCAGCGCATCCTCGAAACCACCTATATGCCAATAAAAGCGTGGCCCTCGGCGGGTACTGGCCCCCCGAAAGGGCTCGTAAAAATGACCCCAAAGCCGCGGATGTAACACCCACCATTTCTGCGACCCTGGAATACAGAGGCAGACAACAGGACACACTCGACAGCCTGACCGAGTGTAAAAGCAGAAACACTCAGCCCGAAAACAACCGCCCATCCCCAATCCTGTTAAGGGTACAAGCAGTAATGGACTATGGCGGAACGCGCGCGACACCATTGGGCGTGCAACAGATTGCTTTATTGGGCCCAATAATTAACAAGCCTTGCCTGCCCCCAGAAGGCGTGGGGCTCGGGAATAAAGAGTGTGTCGAGTGTCGCCGGGTGTCTTAATACCTGCATTTGCCTGGTCCCCACCGGCCGGCCGGCCGGCCGGCCCACAGGCAGGCAGGGAGGGGACAATTGCCCGCCAGTCCACAGGCCTGTGGACCGGCGGGGCCATGCCCCCCCCCCGCTGCGCGGTTCTGGGGGCAGGCCAGTGCCCCCCCCCCGCCCCGAAAGCAACACTCGTGATAATGTCGCTACAGTCTCGGTACAGTTTGTCCCCGCTTTTTACTTTTTTTCAAAAAGTAAAAAAAGGCGATCAATCTCGGGAATAAACAATTGCCCCGGTCGGGGGCTTTCGGGGCCCCCCCGGTGTCTACGTATTTAGGATCAGGATACCGTTGTCTTACCGGCAGCTACTTCTAGTGAGGCAAAAGACGCCCCGCCGCCGGCCCCCGGCCCAACGACGAAAAGGTGGTTGCCAGCAAGGTAGCGCAATCAAACTGCGCAAAACCCAGGCGAACGCCCTCGGGGCCACAGGTCTCACTATATTCATAGTAATTCACCCATGTTTATTTATATTTTATCAAAAATTATTGGATTAGTTATACCATTGTTAATTGGCGTTGCTTTTTTAACTTTGGCCGAACGCAAGGTTATGGCCGCAATGCAACGAAGAAAAGGACCAAACGTTGTGGGAATATTTGGAATATTTCAGCCCATAGCGGATGGTTTGAAACTTTTAATTAAAGAACCCGTTTTACCAAGTAGCGCAAATTTGGTCATATTTTTGTTTGCACCAGTATTAACATTTTTATTAAGTCAAGTTGCTTGGGCAGTTATTCCATTTGGTGAGGGGTTAGTACTTGCAGATCTTAATGTTGGGTTACTTTACCTATTTGCTATATCATCTTTGGGTGTTTATGGTATAATTACTGCAGGTTGGTCTAGTAACTCAAAATATGCTTTTCTTGGGTCTTTGCGTTCCGCGGCTCAAATGGTTTCGTATGAAGTATCCCTGGGTTTAATTGTGATTACCGTTATAATTCTGGCAGGCTCTTTAAATCTTACCGAAATTGTACTGGCTCAACAATACATTTGGTTTTGCGTTCCGCTATTCCCACTTCTAATAATGTTTTTTGTTTCATGTCTTGCAGAAACCAACCGCGCTCCTTTTGATGGCGACCGTTAAGGTTACTACGTAACAAACTGCTTATGCTTGACTAGGTTACTAATTAAACCCCCCCGTAGGGGGGGTGGTGCCGTGGGGAATACCGAAGACGGTTGTTTCAGAGGTTATTGTTCGGCAGGGCCTAGGCCCCAATTAAACGCCCAGGTCGTGGGCAGCTGTGTGGGTGCTAGGCCAGGGTCGCAGAAATCTGGGCAGGGGGTATATGCTCGACCACGGCCTGCGCACATTAACCAGATGGTGATGCCCCCGCAGGGGGGGGGGGCTTCGGTAGGGGGACTTATAACCCACATTAGTGGTTGCGATGGCATATGAAGACAGTCATGTGCAAATTCAGACTGACCCGGCGGGCTGGAAACAGTGGGGGAACAAAAGCATGTCTGAAAAGCGGGAGAGGGGCTTTTTTGGGTCCCCTGGAGGGGCCCCAAATTTCTATGAGGTTCCCGCAAAATGTGGCATCGTTAGAAGAGTGCCGCGGTTCGGGGCCGCTTTGAAGTTGCTTGCCCATGGGCACCGGTTGCTCACTCGCCGCGCTCCGACGTAGCCCTATACAGTGTCATTAACACCAACAGATCCGCCTATACCCCCGCAGATCAACCCACCGAATATAGGATAATTCATTATTCCCGAGTTTGGTTACCCCCCGAAGGGGGGGCCACAAGCTCGCTTTTGGTAAGCGGGTCTCCTAAAGGGCTCGGAAAAATGTCCCCAAAGTAAATCACACTCAACTGGACCCCTGCAGGGTTCGCGAAGCGAACAGCTTGTGCTCAAATTGTACCACATTTCTGGGACCGATCGGATCGGGCAAAGCAGGTAAGCACAATTTTTGTTTGGATGGTCATTATGGTTTTGGCGTACCCAAATAGTCTGCGGTCGCAGAAATGCACAGCAATTTAAATTTATGACAAGGGAGCGCGACTTGCCACGAGTAGAGGCGCCACGGGTCCAGCAAGACGACCCACCTTGGGTGGCATTATTCGATGGCTAGCTTCGAATGACAGGTATCCGCGGTATTGTTAGCGAAGCATTGTCAGCCCCCCCCCCGGCTGCGCATTTCTGCGACCCTGCTGGACAGTTACAAGTGGCTAGCCTATGGCTCGCCCCCCCGCCGTCGCCTTTAAAAAAAACGTGCGAGGCCCGGGGCTTCTAAGCGTGGGCAGGGGGCCTAATGATTTTAGTATGCAAACGCCAGTACAATTTTTGCGCACGTACTTCGCGCGAGCGCAATTTACAAGGGGGTACGGTGAGTGGCCGAAACTTCTGGGGGCGTTCTGGGGGGAGGTATACTTACTCGGGAATAAGGAGCCCGATGGCACTTGCTCGACCCGTCACAACGGCCTGTCCAGCTACGCCGGACAGTCGGGATTTTAGCATCTAAGCGGAGCGACCCCGATCGGCCAGCGGCGTTGGTGCCCCCCGGCCTGTTGCTTGCGCGTCCGGGGCACAGACCAGCCGCCGACGTAAACGGCACTCTAGGGGATAAACCTGGGTTTGGTGAAGTTTAGTTTATTTAGGATAGAGCAACCGATTATTTAGCATCTTAGATTGCTTTTAGGGTCGCAGGATTGGGCTCGCCTGGGAGGGCCCGCTTTCGATTCGACAACAAGGCACCAGATTTATGCGACCCGAGGGGTGGTGGTCGCGGATCAAAAGACACCTTTCACCTTCTCGTCGCTCCTGGGGCTAGGGCGCAACAAAAGGCGCAGGCCTGCCCCCAGAATACAGAATCCCCACCCGCTACTGGGCTGCGGCCAAGAGGCTCCACTTGCGTTAAACTTAGATTGGCTGCGATATGTTACCAATAGGACGGGCAAGCAATTTTGCCAACAAGTTGCTGACCACATACTGGCCCCCTACAGATCACCGCCCCCAGTGTGCCCCCGGTCTGGAAAATTGTCGCATCCGGGGTCGGTGGAGAGCGCGCCCTCGACGCCGCTCCCGCTAACTGTTCCGTAGTTTTTCTTGTGGTCGCGGTCCTATCCTAAAAGGGTATTCTGCCGCGAGTAAAGGCAAAAGCGCCGTTACAAACTTTAAGATCGGTCGGGGGGGGGAATGGGGGGAATCACAGGGGCAAGCGCATTATTTGTTTTTCGCGCCAATTTCCGTAGATTAGCTTCCCAGGCTGGTCCGAAGGACAATAGACGGGCACTGTAACAAGTGGGCGCCGAATAGCAACTTATTGGCGCAGCGTTAGGCCTGAAAACTTGGTAAACAGCTGCCCACGACCTGGGCGTTTTCAGCGCAGTTTTGCCTTTCCGGGGTCGATTGCGCTTGCGCGACCCTTCGCGATCTGGGGGCAGGCAAGTTGCTACTATTTTTTGTGCCGGGGGGCCAGGTAAACGCTCTGGGGTGGTCGTTTGGTTGGGAAACGCCGCTGTTCGTGAGCGCTCGGGAGCCCTGCGCCCCCCCCACGACCCGGCGGCGGGCCGGGGCCGGGGCCGGGCGCAGGAGGCTCGCTGCGCTCGCCCAAAGCGAACAGCAGTAGAGCAGTAGGGGTCGCCGGGCCGCGCTTGTGATTCCCCCCCCAATGGTGCCCAATTTTCCCGACCCTGGGTTCGGGGGGCACCAATCCTTTCGCGATCGGGACTTAGGGAGGGGACAACTATACAGAATTACACAGGTAC